GCTCTCTCAGCCTCTTGAAGTCCACGCACTCTCTGCCAGCCCTCTCTCCTCCGCCTCCGTGCCTCGTGTATCAGCTCCACCGAGGCCGGCATGGAAGAGGTTGCCAGGCGCTGCCGCGCTGGAGCAGAAGGTGCAGGTGGTGCGGGGACGGAGTCAGGGAGACGCCGCATCGGCGCCAGTCGCTGGAGGTGGGGGAGCTTGCTGGCAAGGTGGGCGCGGCAGGTCCGAAGTGGAGCCGGGAGCAGTCGGAGCTCGGAAGGAGGGATCGGGATTCAGGTATTCAGCGGCGGCGTGCGGCGGCTTCGAGCTCGAGACAGGGTGTTACGCTCCCCTTAGGTACCTTAACTCAATCACTAGCTTAATACAGAGGAATTGGAAGGTTTCGATCTAGAGTTCTTGGATACAGGAGGGAAAAGGGATCGGGAGAGAGAGAGCCGCCGCCAGTGTCTCGTTTCTACCTGCCTTTCTCCAGTTCGGCGCTTGCTCAAGTAGTTAGATCGTCCACTCTGGACCGGTGTAGCGCTTGTTGGGCTCGTGGGCTCTCCGGGTCCGTTGCTGCACTCCATCGCCTTGACGGGCCGCTGTGGCAGTGGTAGTAGGTTGGTCCGTAACATTCCCCCCTTCTTGAGAATCAGCTTGTCCCCAAGCTGGAGCGGCTGGGTAATGGTGTTGGAGCTCCTCGCGATCTTCCCAAGTCGCCACAGAAGCCGGTTGCCCCGTCCAGCGAATGAGTACTTGAGGAACCAGAGCCGTACCGCAATGGTGAAGGCGAGTGTCGAGGATCTCCACGGGTTCGGGGTTGGGCGCTGCCTCCGCTGGCAGCTCGTCTAGGGCTTGTTCCACTGGCAGCAAGGCCCGGCGCAGCTGGGACACGTGAAAGACAGGGTGGATGCTGCATGAGGCGGGAAGCTGAAGCTTGTAGGTGACTTGGCCGACTTGTTGCACCACCTGAAAAGGACCAAAATACCGGAAGGACAGTTTTCGGTTAGCTCTCGTAGCTAGCGACCGTTGAATGTATGGTTGAATCTTCAGGAACACCCAGTCTTTCACTGCGAACACGCGGACTGATCTCTTCTTGTCTGCGGACTCCTTCATTTGCTGACGAGCACGAAGCAGGTGTTGCCGGAGCAAGGCCTCCATTTGCGCCCGGTCTTGCAGCCAATCGTCCAGGTCCGGCACCGCGCACGACATGGGGTCGATGATGCCAAAATGCCGTGGCGCATGCTCATACAAGGCTTCAAATGGGGATGTTCCAAGGGCAGAGTGAGGAGAAGTATTGTACCAGAACTCGGCGAGGGCCAGCCAATGGGACCACTTGGTCGGGCAAGCATGGACGAAACATCTCAAATAGGTCTCCAAGCATTGATTGACTCGCTCGGACTGCCCATCTGTCTGCAGGTGTCATGTCGTGCTCATGCGGAGTTCGGTGTGAGTCAGTCAGAACAGCTCTTTCCACATAGTGCTGGTGAAGATGGGGTAGCGGTCTGAAACAATTGCTGTTGGCAGTACATGGAGTTTGTAGATGTTGTTGACAAACACCTGAGCCACTTGAAATGCCGCGAAGGGATGCGACAAGGGAATGAAATGGGCATACCAGGAAAACTTGTCCACCACCACCAATACACTGTTGTATCTTGCTGATTGCGGTAACCCTTCCACGAAATCCATGGTTATAACTTCCCAAGCCTGTTTGGACACCTGCAGTGGTTCCAGGAGGCCAGGATACCGGACCCGTTCTGGCTTAGCTTGTTTGCAAGTCTGGCATTCCTCAACAAATAGTCACACGTGTTGCTTCATCCCAGGCCAAGTAAACAGCCGTCTCACTCTGTGATAGGTGACATTGAAACCTGAATGTCCACCAATGGCACTTGCATGTAATGCAGACAACACCTGTTTCTGAAGTTGTACATTGTTGCCGAGCCAAACTCGTCCGTGCTGCTTAATGGTTCCAGAGTCCAATGTGAATCCATCCGTGTTGGCTGTTCCTGTGGCCAGTCGTGTTAGCCATTTGCGCGCTATAGGATCGTCCTTATACCCTTGCTGAACTAACTCCAACCATGCCGGCACTGCTACTGTGATCGACGCAAGGTCTCCTTGAGCTGGTCCGGGACGCCTGGATAGTGCATCAGCCACCCGGTTGTCCATGCCGCGTTTGTAGACAATTCTGTAACGCAGACCAAGCAGTTTTGACATGATCTTCTGCTGCCACGGGGTTGCCAACCGCTGGTCCTCAAGGTGGACCAACCTGCGCTGATCCATATGAATGAGGAACTCATCACTCTGCAAGTATTGGCGCCAATGCTCCACCGCTAACAGGATTGCCAGTCCCTGCTCCTCGTAGGTGGACAGGGCGCTGTTGCGCGGGCCTAAAGCCTTGCTCAGAAATGCCACTGGATGCTTGCCTTGTTTGAGGACTGCCCCAATCCCCTTGTCCGAAGCATCTGTTTCCAATTCAAACTGAACCGTGAAATCTGGCAATGCCAAAACTGGTGCAGTGATCAGCGCCTTTTTAAGCTCCTGGAAGGCTGCTTCCTCCAATGATGTCCAGCGGAACACGGTGTTCTTTTTAAGCAGGTCTGTCAAGGGAGGACTGATGATGCCAAAGTTCTTCACAAACTTGCGGTAGTAACCCGCGAGGCCAAGGAAACCGCGCACTTCCTTGACAGTGGAGGGTGTTGGCCATTTCTCGACGGCAGCAATGTTCTTATTGTCGGTGCGCACCCCCTCCCCACTGATCTCATGCCCCAAGTACAGCAAGCTCGGGCTGGCAAACGTGCATTTGCTCTTCTTGACTTTTAACTGATGCTTATTCAATAGCTGGAACACTTGTCGCAGCTTATCCCGGTGTTGCTCTAGTGTGGCACTGTGCACCAGGATGTCTTCAATAAAAACCAGCACCCCCTTGCGATTAACTGGAGCTAGCACAATATTCATCCCCCCTGGAAGGTAGCAGGTCCACCTGTTAGGCCATACGCTAGCACCTTGAACTCAAAATGCCCATGGTGGGTCTTGAAAGCGGTCTTGTACTCGTCCTCGGGTTACGTATTTGATGGTATCCGGCTCGGAGATCTGAGCTAGTGAACCACCTGGACCCCGCAAGTTCATCCAGAAGCTCGTCGGTGACCGGGAATGGAAAACGGTTCTTGACTGTTATGGCATTGAGCTGGCGGTAGTCTACACAGAAACGCCAAGACAAATCCTTCTTCTGGACTAGCAGTATTGGCGACGCAAACGGGCTGGAGCTGGGCGCAATAATCCCCTGAGCAAGCATGTCCGCTACCTGCTTCTCAATCTCGTCTTTTTGAGCTGGACTGTAGTGATATGGGTGGACATTGACCGACTTTGCTCCCGGAAGCAGAGGGATGGTATGATCGAACGAACGCTGCGGTGGTAGCCCCTTCGGCTCTGCGAACAGGTGCTCAAACTCGCTGATCAGTGACTCAATCTCCGCAGGCACCGGCACTTCTATCAAGCTTTGCTCCCCTTGCATAGTGGCACAAAGCTGAACCATGTGCACGACCCCAGCGCAATGCAGCAACTCAGCTAGTTCCTCGCCGGAAAGGGATTTGCATTGGCTAACATCTGCCTTCGCCCCTTGGAGGTGGATGGTGGAGCCTTGGTACTCAAAATCCATCGTCTGCTCCAGCCAGTGCACTTTCATGGGGCTGTGCTGTGCTAGCCAGTCGATGCCAAGAATGACATCATAGCACCCCAACGGAAGTACCTTAAGGATGGTGTCGAAGGTGACTCCATGGGTCTGCCATTCGCACTTCGGCAGTTCTTGATCACAGCGCATGACACCACCATTGGCCACCCGCACTGCCAACGGGTGCTTGGCCTTGACCACACCTTGCAGCCGAGCGGCGAGGGATTCGCAGATGAAGCTGTGGGAGGAGCCCGAGTCGACGAGCATCAACACCTCCTGGCCTTGGACCCAGCCGTGGAGGTGCATGGTGGTGTTGGATTCCCCTCCGTCGAGAGCCTCCTTGGAAAGGACGCAGCAATCTGCCCCTTGCTCGCTTGCCGCCTCGTCTTGGTTCAGGTCGTTGGAGTCACTTGGCTCGCTGTGCATCATCGCCAGCAGTTCTTCCACCACGTGCAGCTGCACGGTCGGTCCACAGCGATTGTCGCGCCCCCAGCGCTCGCCGCAGGTGAAACAGAGTCCCCGCGCGCGCCGATATGCGCGGAGAGCTACGATCTTGTCCTCCGCAGGTTGCGAGTGCGCCGCCTCCTGTGCGCGATGGTCTGTGCTGCGCCCCTCCACGGGCACTGCAGGCTTGGTTGGAGCGAAAACCGGCGGTGGAGGCAAGGGCAGGGCCGTGCGCGGCACCGCTCGAGACGATACCGGTGTTGAATACCGGCGATCGTCCTTCTTGTCCTCTCTGCGCATAGCTTCGAGCACCTCCTCCTGTAAACAGGCAAGATCGACAGCAGTATCGATCGTTTTTGGTCGATGTAAAACTACTGCAGCTCTAATATCTTTTTTCAACCCATCAATAAAGTGTGTAATGAAATACGATGGCTCCCATGATTCATGGTGTGCCACCAAATTGTGCATGAACTGCATGAACTTCTCTGCATATTAAGTCACCGAACCGCTCTGCTGTAGACGATTGAATTGTCGCAACAGGGACTGGAATTCCTCTCTCCCAAACTATGCACACACTGCTTCTGCAAACATACCCCAGTCTGTATATATTAGGTGCGCCTTGGTGGATTGCAACCAAGACAGTGCCCCATCGATGAAATACATCGCGGCGCAGCTCACCCAAGTGTCAGGACTAAGCGTACAAACTCTGAAATACGCCTCACATTTCAAACGCCAAGCTCGTGGCCCATCTCCATCGAACAGAGGAAAATCAAAACATGGGGGAGGTGGAAATCGGGCGAATCCGAATTGACGCTCTCCCATAAACGAACTCTCTGCAGCAAAAGGGTGGAAATCGGCCATACCCGTGACCGGAGGTGCCCGCGGGGTCCGTTCCCCCGGCGACAGCCCCCGGTGATCTTGCGTCTTGCCGTGGCCAGCGGGCCCGTGGCCGTCGCCACCGCGAGGCAAGAGGCGCTCGCTGAGTTGAGGAAGACGTGCGTCCGCGATCGGAGCAGGCTTGAGTGGCGGTATTGCCGTCGACGGAAGGAGTGGAGGCAGATCTGTGAGACGAATTGGCTGCGCCAACTCCGTAGCTGTCGTAGATGCCGGATCGGGCACCGGCGCGGTCTCTGGCCGCACCTCCTTAAGTTCCTGTCGCAGCTCGCCCACCTCCAAGCGCAGGTCCTCCACCGAGCGCTCGACAGCCGGTCGCCACCCCTAGAGCTCGAGGACGATGGGATGGATCTCGCCGATCTGGGCAGATATGCCGCTGATCGCCGCTGTCAGATCGGCCGGGGCCTTGTTGGTCTCCTCAATGGTTGTGTGCTTGCCGCGGCGAGTTTGGATGATCGAAGGAAATCGAGCGGCCAGGGTTAAGGTGGTGGGGGGAAAAGGCTGCTGATACCAAATGTTACGCTCCCCTTAGGTACCTTAACTCAATCACTAGCTTAATACAGAGGAATTGGAAAGTTTCGATCTAGAGTTCTTGGATACAGGAGGGAAAAGAGGATCGGGAGAGAGAGAGCCGCCGCCAGTGTCTCGTTTCTTCCTGCCTTTCTCCAGTTCGGCGCTTGCTTAAGTAGTTACGTCGTCCACTCTGGGCCGGTGTAGCGCTTGTTAGGCTCGTGGGCTCTCCGGATCCGTTGCTGTACTCCATCGCCTTGACGGGCCGCTGTGGCAGTGGTAGTAGGTTGGTCCGTAACACAGGGCGACCTGGACGACGAGAGAGGCAGACGTGGGCAATGGGCTCGAATGTCTGGGCTTTGTCATGAGTGGGCTTTTGCCAACATATTATATGAAGTACTGCCAACGGAGTTTCCCTAAAAACAAAAAACTCGTCCAACGGAGCTGCAAGTTTGGCCGCAAAACAGCTCGATGAGAAAATCATTAAGCCAACCACAATACTGCACCGCCAAAAAAAATACAGGTACTAATAAACAATGAACTACCTTCTCGGGCCAAAAACAGAGGCGCGCCACGGTGGCCGGCCGTCGCCGCTGCGTCCCGACGAGCTGCCGACGTGCGCCCGTGTCGTGGTTCCGACTTTAACTGAAAAGCCAAAAGTGCATCTACTACTACTATAAAAGAAAGAGAGGACGAA